CAGAACAGAGCAGAATAAGGAATTGGGACATGAATGGAATAGAATGGAATGGAATGGAATGGAATAGAATAGAATAGAATAGAATAGAATAGAATAACAGAGTTGGAAGGGACCTTGAAGGTCTTCTAGTCCAACCCTCTGCTTAGGCAGGAAACCCTACACCACTTCAGACAAGCGGTTATCCAACCTCTTAAAAACTTCCAGTGTTGGAGCATTCACAACTTCTGGAGGCAGGTTGTTCCACTGATTAATTGTTCTAACATTCGGAAAATTTCTCCTTAGTTCTAGGTTGCTTCTCTCCTTGATTAATTTCCACCCATTGCTTATTGTTCTACCCTCAGGTGCTTTGGAGAATAGTTTGACTCCTCTTCTTTGTGGCAGCCCCCGAGATATTGGAACACTGCTATCATGCCTCCCCTAGTCCTTCTTTTTATTAAACTAGACATATCCAGTTCCAACCATTTTTCATAGGTTTTAGCCTCCAGTCCCCTAATCATCTTTGTTGCTCTTCTCTGCACTCTTTCTAGAGTCTCCACATCATTTGAAAGTCCTCTGTCCAGGCATGGAAACTGTCCGCTTTCTTGTAATCAAAAATGGAATGGCCAAGCAGCTCTGCGGCTTCTCTTTTGTGCTTCAATGTAACCTTGGCAATGCTTATGGTCTGTCGGTCATGGCAAAATGGTTGGGGGCGTGTCTAAACCCTACTGGCAGTGTGGAGATTCCTTCCAGACCTCTGGGAACCTTGCTTGGTGGTATCAGTTCTAGCCAAATGGCAGGAAGTCTGGCAGATGCAATACAAGTCATGCAACAGTTTGTGCCTAAGAAAGAGAAGAGAAGAAGAGGCATCTTGTCTGGCCTTACCAGAGCCAAGAATTGGGAGAAGCCCATTAGACCATCTTCACTGCTGACCTACCAGCCCAGGACAAACCTCCTTCTAAATCTCCTGGGCATGTTGAACAGTCCCCACCACCACTGATCCTCTTGCAGCTGCCTTCTTTTCATCCCTGTTCCCTTTCTCACTTGGGTCTCCCAGCCCCCTGGCAGAGATGCTTGATTCTGGATTCCCCAGATGACATAGTCCTGCCCCAGAGAAGTCTTTCACCCAAACCTCCAAGCTGACTGTGGTGTTATACCCAAGATCAGGCCCTACAGCTTGGGGGTGAGGAGGTGGTCGGAAGAGGACTCAATTGCGCAGCCTCTTCAAATCAAGCCTTCTCTTTTAGCCAGGCTTTGTGTCTGGATGTCTATGTCTGGATGTGGGGAGGAACTCTAGCCTGGAACTGGAGGGTTGTCTGGATCAGAGAGCAGATCAGGAGAATGGGAGGAGGGCTGGGAGGAGGTCCTGCTCTGCTGGCGGAGTTGATCCCACCCCCAGTACCATAAGATAAGCCAAGCCACGCTGTCTGCGCCAGGCTGAGACTGACTGGGAGCCAAGAACATTTATTCATCTGCAATTGCTTGTCTACCTGTCTTAAAACTCCTGCTGGATATGAAGAATTCCAGTTAGGCTGTGCGAGGAGGTAATTATCTGGCAATTTTGCTACGCAATCAATTCTGCAATAGAGACTCATTGGTCAGGGATGGTCCCTGCCTTATCTTGCTGTAAGCCACTCAGAGTCCTATGGGATTGGGCGGCATACAAATTTATTAAATTGCTTTAAAAAATTGCTTAAAATGAGATGAGAAGTGTGTTAATACCACTTTATAATACCTTGGTAAGGCTACACTTGGAATACTGCATTCAGTTTTGGTCACCACAATGCAGAAAAGATGTGGAGACTCTAGAAAGAGTGCAGAGAAGAGCAACAAAGATGATTAGGGGACTGGAGGATAAAACTTATGAAGAACAGTTGCAGGAACTGGGTATGTCTAGTTTAATAAAAAGAAACACT